CATGTACCTGTATATAAAAAACGCGCCCTATAGTCCGGTGCGCCTTATGTGTGTGTTAAATACAGAAATGGGACACATAACTGAGAGTGCGCCTTTTAGTACGGTGCGCCTTATGGTCGTGAAAATACGGTAATAAAATAGAGACATAAGTTTTTTTAAAGTGAAGAAAGTGGCTAAAACTACAAAAAAATTTAAGTTATAGTACCAGAGATGTGGGCTCTGTTAATGAAAGTTAATGAAATAGTAAGTTAAAATTTAACAGCTGCTACCAGCTTTCAAAGACTCTGCTACACATGGACCACAGTCACCATCTTAGGTTTAAATGCTTTGCCTGTTAAAAATAACCCATTCTAATGTTGTACTTTGGTGTCTTTTCCCTTGTGAACATGTCAGAACGAGGACGTGCGACCACACGTTCGAGAGAGATTCCGACTTCACGACCTGCTGCCTCCTGATTGAAATCAGCAGCGGTGCGTCACAACCTAACAGCAGGATAAGACTGAAATCAACGTGTGTAAAAAGCATCTCTTTGGAATACAAACTACAGCATTGCCATTAATATTCAGTTTTTTTTTTTTTTTTGTTGAGGAGCAGGAGGAAAAAAATTTAAAAAGTTTATAGTTTTTTTTGTGTTTTTTACTTCTGTGTATTTTTTCTAAAAAAGAGAAAAAAAGTAATTGGAGGGAAATTACACACACAGATTAAAGTCTATGTAGACTCCTCTTTTTAAGCGACTCTCCAGCAGCGGTGGAGCCAGAAACAAGCTCCACCCTAAACTCTGAGGTCTCGGTGCTGGTTTAATGGATACCAACAGGTAAAAATCCCTGAACACATCAGCCCCTTCTGGTGCTCATGCTGTCAACACTGACAAAAAAAACCCATTTGTTTGTGTTTTTAAAGCTGGAAGGAGGGGGTCTGATCTGATGGGTGGGCAAATATCCTATCTGTAGCTAACAGAAAAAGAAAAAAAAATATGCATTCCTCTGTAGCTCTGTCAAGTTTCTATTGTAGGCTCATGTTTTCTCCCGGTAAAACTGCTCTTTTATTGTTTTTATTTTTTTCCTGTTAAAATATAGTATTTCCAAGATGTTTTACTAATATTTGTAAAATGCATTTTTAAAAGGTGTCATGTGAGTTTTAGAAAAAAAGGCTTTTCTTTTTCTTTTTTTTTTTAACATCATAGGTGCATATTCATAAGTCCATTGCTTTCTTAAAAAAAAAACTTTAAAGGATTGAAGTTTTGTTCTCAATCTAAGTCATGTTAAATTGTTGTGATTGCCTTACTGTGGGCATGTTACTCCTTAATTATTGGGACTAATCTCAACTGTAAATTGTGAAAATTAGAGGGCATTCATATCCATAGTGCTGTCTCAACAAAATCTTTGATCAGTCATAACTTTTTAATTTATCATCCAACTGTAATCGATTTTGTCTCCTACAGCTGATCAACTTTTTCTGGCTTAAAATCTGTGCTTCAATTCTCTATAAGTCTGTCTCATTTAAAGGCTCAATCAGTAGCGTCATGATAAATGTAGCACATATTTGCCAGTGTTATTCTGCTCACGGTTAAAATATGGCTAAATATATACCAGCAGCATACAGTTTCTTCCTTTGCACCATTATAAATGTTTTTTTGTTTGTTTTTTAAAAGAATGGCAACAAAGGCGTTTCTTTTTTCCCACTCTGAACTCTGGCCAAACACCTTTAGTTTCGCCAATGACTGAAAATGAAATTAAAAGGTTGTTTTCTTTTGATACCCAAAGTTGGAGTGTAATAAGTGTGCAGATCATGCAGCGATTTTCCGTTGGTGTTTGAATGAAATTATTGTGCATTTTACATAACGTGAAATGTGAGTGTTTATATTTGCCTGTACAGTGCCATACAATCCCCGTTCTCCCAAGCTCCTCCTTTGGGCAGTTATTGTGCAATTGTCCCAAGATAAATGTAGAAAGAGAGACAATCAAACGTTTTTAGCTCTGCAGATATTAAGAAAACACAGAGGGCAGCAGGTGCTGTACGTGTTGTTTGACCCTGTCTCCAGTCACGTAAAACCTCCCAATCAGAACCTTTAAATATTTCAGCGCAAAAGTAATTTCCACCGTTGCGTTGTTGCCTGAGTTTGCCTTTTTTGTGGCACAAGGGTGTTTTAATCAGAATGTTTTTTGTTTTTTTGAGTGAATTTGTTCTGACTATGAATGTAAATTACACATGGAGTGAAGGCTTAAAACATCTCTCCAAAACGTCTGCCTTGTGCTTTGGCCTAATCACTGAAAATAGAAAATAAAAGAGAACCTGGGAGTGCATACTTAATAAAGAATGAAAGAAAATAATTGAAATGCACTTGGAATGGAGAAGTTTGTCAAGTTGACCATCCTGACTGCCATCTATATGCAAGCCTCACTCCCTGTGTGTGATGTTGCCCCAGCTTGCTTGTCTCCTCATTAAACGACACGCTTTTATTTGTGTGTTGATGCCTTTCTGAAGGCTCAGCAGGAGGCATTTGATACTTTTCATTTAGCTCATCTTTATGTGCATTAGCAGTTTATTGTACACTGACTGTTGTACAATACATGCAGCTTCTTGTATGGAAAAAAAAAATCCTTAAAATAAGGAAAGTCTTTTGTATTTTTGATTCTTTTTCCTAAAAGCATGACATATCTACTTTAAATGTATTAATGAAGATTTAACTTTACATCAGATGGGGTTTTTCTCTTTTTTTTTTTTTTTTTTTCTTACGGATATCCATGTTTAGTTTAGGGCTGTCTAAGAACGGTTAAAATTAGCATGTAGACAGTACAGCTTGCTTTGTGGGGAAAGTCATGTAATGAACTGAAATCTTGACATTTTTCTGCAGAAAGATGTCATGATTTAGGTTTTTTTTTCTTTTAAAAATCAATATCCGTTAAGCCATTTTACTTGCTAAAGTTGCTGTTTGTGCTGACGATGTATTTAATGTTTTCAGACATCTTTGTTATCTGTTAGGCTGTATGCTATTGTAAAGTGTATATACAGTTACATTGAATTTCTGAAAGAAAGTTTTAAATTGACCAGAAACTTGTCTTCCATTTGTTTTTATTTCTATCCTGTGTCATAAAGATGGATATTTGCATTTAGTCCACTCTGTAGTTCAAGTCTCCAGTATTATTTTATTTTGTCTTCAACACCTTTAAGTCAAAATGCACCAGTCACGTGTGATCTTAAATATTAGGCACCAAAGTAAAGATTTGTCCCATTTTTAGTAATGCATTGCTAAAAACGGTAGTGATGGTAGTGCAGTGTAAAGCCAAATTCCCAAACTACTGCGTGAAGGGAAAAAAAAAACTTTAAACACTGGACATCTGTTAGATTTCACTTCAGCCTTTAAAACTTATTTAAATGTGGTCTTTATGTGCGCCTGAATTTTACATCAGTTACTGTTTAGCTTAAGTATCATGACTAATTTGGAACAAAGTTCCTTGTGAAACTATATGAAATGATCTTATTAATAATATGGGCTACATTTGATTAACTTCAGCCAGCTTCTTTGTTTCCTGTCTTGCATTACAGGACAGCCTGATTAATCCAGGTGTGTCTAGCCTCAGTAACCATAACGACAGTGGCCAGACACACCTGGATTATACAATGATGAAAAATGAGAAACAAATGAGCTGGCTTAAGTTAAGGAAATAGTGGAGTTGGGCATATAGTCCATTCAAATTGCCCCAATGCCTCAAAAATATTTTTAAATAGTTGACATAGCTTCAACTAAAATGACAGAGAAGCTGGATAGCTTGTAATTAGGTTTTACATTGAAGCACATTCTTGTGACAAAAGAACCTAAAGTCCAGATTAAAACCTAAATAAACCTCAAGAATTCACAGTTCTTTAAATTTAACTTGGAGTTTAAATTTAATTTTTTTTTTTTTTTTACAAAAATGGACAGCAATGTTACCTTTTGATTTAAAAAGCAGGCGAAGTGCTTCAAGCAATACATGCCAGGAACACTGGGGAAAAAAATGAAACCTTACTCGGCTCAGAATTCATTCAGAAAAATAATTTTGGAAGGCATGTATTTTTGCCAAATACAATATATCTGCTCAGGTTTTTACTTGTAGCAATATTTAGTTATAAATGCTTGATAAAACAGTAACAAAAGCATAAATCTGTTTGGTTAAACAAAAATAGACCTGCTCACTAAACTGAATATATAATTTAAGTCATTGCTTATATTTTTTTCACTTTCTCTGTCATTAAACATCTTCCCTTTCTAAGCGACAGCTTGTAAATAAAAGTTACAGTCTGCTGATCAAAATATTGGCAGCAGCTGTAGGATAACTTGTCCACCAGTTGGTCTGGTGTCTTCTGACTCCTCGGGTAGGAGTCGGGTTTCAGATGGTCGACCTATTCAACACGCTCCATCAATAATGCAACGTCGACTGATGTGCTTGTTGTTGAAATCCGTCCTGCATTTCACAGCCCTCGTTTCGCACCTCCTCTTCCCTGTAACGCGTCTCATTAATAATGCCCAAGGCAGATCAGGTGCAGGGTTGCAGGTTGATTTGAAGGTGAGGAGTACGTTTTTTTTTCTCTAAGTACAGAGCAGCCTAACGGGGAACATCTGATCGATGGACATCAATCAATGAGGAGAAATCAATGCATGTTTCTGTAAAGGCCTAATTTATTCTAATCAAACATGAAATCTGTTCTTAGCCCGGTTCCGCCTCAGCTGATGTTCTCTGTAGTAAAAGGATAAATTTGATCTTTTTACAATTTTGTATTTAACTACAATCACTGCTTTACTGGGAGGACAATAAAGATGTGGTCTTCACCAACTGTTCGTATGGTTTGCATCCTATTTGGTAAGTTTGAAACAGTGATGCTATGACCTTTCCACTGGCATTTCTTGAGAAAGAAGCACCAGTTTGTATATTGCAGTTGTGTGAAAGTGTTTTTCCTCTGTGTTGAGTTTAATATTTGGCTTTCAAACATATTTTAGAAATGTTTGGGGTGGCACAGTTGGGGCATGAGCAGGTGGTAGATGTAAATAGGCCATAACACTAAAGATTTATATCTTTTCATTTTTTGTGAGTTTTTTTCAGCTGCCCCCTAATATAAGGTTGAAACTAGTGTAAACAGTAGAGTGAGTCTTTAGGCAAAGACTGCAGAAATGTGAAAATGTTCCTTAAAATTCAAAAGTTTGTTGTGCAAAACCATTTTAATAGCCTGATAAATATAAGGCTGTTTTTTAAAATTACCCTCTTTCTTCCTTCTTAAACTCTTAAGCAGGCAGTTTTCACAAGAGTATATATTTGAAATATGAAAAAACCTTTTTCAATAAATGTTTTTTTTAGAAAACATTTTATGATAATTTAAGATTGCTAAAAGAATTATCAATTATATAATTCAATTAAAAGTAATTATAAATATTCACAAATATCACAAAACGGACAACTACTCATAACACAGATCTGCTGGATATTCATAGTCATGGACAAACTGACTAATTTTTTGCTGTGTTCATTGTGTTCGTCAGCTAATATAACTAATAAGACTAAAAATGTGAAAAAAATCAGGAGCGGTTTAATAGTTCTTTTTCATTAACTGTATGCAGAAAATAAAGTAAAACTGAAATACCAAGCAGTAAAAATAAATGTACTTGAGCTAATTAGTAGTAAGAGATGGGTAAAGCAGAATGTTGAGAGCCAACACTAGAGAATAAATACTACTACTGAATGAATAAATGTCTGAACATGCATGAGCTGTGCATTAGTTGCCTCTGATGTTTTTTCTTTTAAACTGATTTTTCACTGAAACAAGTGTATTCGTTGTGATGTCACATTTTTTCCTTAACTTTGAGGAAGTTCAGTTAAGTTCATCCTTTGGTGCATGAACCCATTCTGGATACATTTACATTTAAAATGTCTACTGAAACTACAGTCATTTAGTATGAAAAATCATGCAAATGCTATTGTTGCAATTGTAGTTCAAATAAACCTTTTAAGGTTTTCATGATGCATTCTTTATCATGTAATGTTTTATTTATTGATTTGTTTACACAGGGATCATAAGTGATATCACACCGGTGTGTTCACAACCCAGATTAGTTCCAGGACAGAACAACAAGATGACTGCTGAGGACAGCAAGTTAGGAGAGGACATCCAAAAAGTCATTGATGAAATCCACCTCCTCTCTGAGCAAAACTCACGCAGCTTTGCTGTCCCCTCCACAGAGGACCATCTCAACCTGAATACATACTATAGCATCCTCAGTAACCTCTACAGGCTTTTTCAACCACTGATGAGAGAGGGTTTTTTTGATGACCTGCCTAAAATACTGGTTTGCCTTCTCTCAGAGAGACATGACTGTGGCCTAGAGGCAGAGCTAACAAAGACAGTTTCATTGGAGATGGGGAAGCCGTTCCTTATGTTTTTCTCCTCACTCAGATCTCAGACCTGTGGTCCAATGACCCCCGATGGAGAGTCGAGGAGCTTCTTTGGGACCTACCTCAATGTTGGAAGCACACTGACATCGGCATTTAGTGGTTTTCAGCAGCTGTTCATTAACATGCTGTCAAACCTCATGCTGTCTGAGAACTTGACTAATGTTCTGCGTAGCCTTCTAGATTCACTTTCAGCCAATGTGCTACATTTCCTATCAATGTTGCTTGAAATACCAGTTGATTATGTGAGAATAGCCTTAGAGTTTGGAATTGAAGTCCCATCCCTGGATGGACAAGACACCTGCCAGCAAGGTAAAATAGAACTTTTTTTATTTTCGAGTGTATAGGCATCTCTGGATCTGCACTAACTGCTGTTCTTCTTTTCTACAGGCGATCTCAAGCAGCTAATTATGTGGTGAGTCATTAGCTTTCTACCATACCTGATGACAAAACATTACCAGAAAAAAAGTCTGTTCATGAAATCAGCTCCTTTTTGTTGAAAATTAAAATAGAATGAATCTAACAAGAAGCTGTAATGATTGTGAATCTACATGTTTTTTTTTAACCATATATTTTATACAAGACAGGTAGTACAACACATTTAAATGCATTTATGCAAAGTCTTGAATTAAGTTTCTTAATTTTGTTTTTCAATGTTGGAAACATGTTCCTAGTTGAACCTCTAGTGAAATATTTAAGTGTTTAATGACTGAAAATGGTCAATGTTACTATTGAATTCAAAGGTATGTAGGAAAAACAGATCTACAAGTGACTAATGCTTTAGAGTCTGGAGATGGAGTCCATGATTTTCTGTATGTAGGTTCTTGCTATTTCAGTTCATCTTAGGAAGGAAGTTCCTCTTGCAGAGTCTTTCTTTATCAGGATTCTCAGTGTCCCTGCACTAACTATATCTACATCGGAAATTGTGAAAGGAAACCTGGGAATTTCCCAGCTGCCAAGTTTTGTAACACAGACTGTGATAAAACGTGTGTCAACTCTTAACCTGTGTTATTTCCAGATGTTTGGTTAAGATGTGGAAGCCTGCTCTCTTTCAAGAGGGCCAGAGGGCTTCCTCAGAGGTTTAGCTGAACAATTTCGCTCCGTTAGACCAAACATTTTGCCTAAATTTTCTTGAAGTAGTAGGTAAAGACAATCAAACTACTTGCTTATAGTTCCCACTTTCCTTTGTGAAAGAATAAACACTCAAAGCTAAAAATGTATTCTCTTCTCAGACTCAGGTAAGGCAAATGCTGATTTGATTTCCTGTACCATGGAATGAGAGGTAGCCAATGTCTGTCCTTGAGTGTCACTGTCGTGCAGCTTTTGCATACACCCCGTGTTTAACACACCTGAAACAAAAAAAAATGTTTAATAGCCATCTTATAAACTTACCTACACACCAAAGAGGTAATTTGGCTTTTTATTTCAGGTGTGTTCGAGCAGGGGATGATGCAAAAGCTGCAGGACAGTGGCACCTGAGGAACGACATTGCTTACCCCCTGTCTAAAGAGTCCGAAATAATATAGGTTACTGCAATCGTCTTAAGGCCACAGTTATTTATTAGGTTTGAAGTAATAATATTAATTATTACAAATTAAATAACAGTGGAAACAGACAAAAAGTTGGACAGCAAATACTAATAATATTAATTTATGAAATTATTAGTTAATACATTAAAAATAATGAAATTATAAGTTAATACATTAAAATATTAATTAATAATAAGATAATGTGAAAATCAATTTTCTCTTTACAATGATGAATTATCTTTTTTTAGTTTGCTTTTCACATTTCTTGTGGTTTTAGATCTACATCAGGCAAGGGTATGGATACATTTGGGTTCCATAATAAAAATCATAATAAAATTAATAGTTTGGCAATTAATTGAATTTATTGGTGATTCTCAACACATATTTGGTCAAATAAAATAAAGTAATACAATGTAAAAACCAAAAAACAAAACAAAACAGTGATTGAAAGCCTGTAATGGGCTCCAACTTGAAGTTTACATAAAAATGGTCTTTTCTTATATTCCTTTGAACTAGCTTAGCCAACCTTTGATCAGTACAACACTATACAGGTTCAACTAAGAAAAATTAGAATATTCTGTAAAATGCAACATTTTACAGTCATTTGAGAATGTGAAACAGTTATTTTATAGAGATTAATTTCACAGGAAGTAGAATGTTTCAAGCATTTATTTTTTGCCATTTTGATGATTATGGATCACAGGTAAAGAAAAATCAAAATTTTGTGTCTCAAAAAATTAGAACATCATATTAGAAAAATAAAAAAATTATGCTTTAAATATAAATGTCCAGCCTCTAAAAAGTATGGAAATTTCTATACACTTACTACATGGTTGTGCTCTTGCCAGATTTACTGCACCAATACAGGAGATCAGCCTGCAGACCTATGGAGTGTGATTAAAAGCCTAGATTACTCTGATAAATGCCGTCCTTGTTTGGTCTCATGTTTGTCATCTTCCTCTTGACAAGATACTATAGATTTTTTAGGGCTCAGGTAAGTGGGGTTTGGTGGTCAATCAACAAGATCACTGTGATCATTTAACTAGCTTTGGGTACCTTTAGCATTGTGGGGATGTTCCAAGTCCTGCTCAATAATAAAATCGGCACCTCCATCCAGTTTGCCAGCAGAGGAAGCATGGAGTACTTTAGAATTTCCTATAGATGCCTGCACTGACTTTGGGCTTCAGGAAACTTAGTGGACCAACACCAGCAGATGACATGGCAACCAAAACCATCCCTGACTGGAAACCTATCACTGGACTTCCATGGATTGTGTGCCTCTCCAATCTTCTTCTGGGTCATTGATTTCTACATGCAGGATTTATTTTCATCTGAAAACAGGACTTTGGGCCATTTAGGGAGAGTCCAATTTATTTTCTCCTTTGCCCAGCTTCGTCAACATTTACCCTGTGTGGCGCATACCCTATTTAGAAAGGGTGTCGAAGGCTGTGGAGAAGGTCAAGTCAGCAGTTGACTGACCCACTTTTTAAAGGAAACTTTCTTTTGTGGGTTTGTTGTTTAATAAGCTGATTAGGGTGTCACATGATTTTTTTTTGTGTTTTCATTATCTATATGTAAATATCAAAAATACAACAACTCAATTTTTGAAGCTTATCACTCTAATTTTGTATAATGAGTTTCACTTTCTGAGATGAATAGCAGAAAATGCACTTGTACACTTTTCAGATGTACCTATAGTTGGTGAAACTTTCATAAAGTTTGTACTTTTAGAGTAGCTTCATATTGTTTTAAAGCAAAATGACTCATAGATGGCTGATTTTTTTGTCTTTTTCAGGGGACTAAAGCACAACGTGAGTTGGTCTTTTGGCGTCCCACTTGTTGACATCCTCCTGGAATCCTTCCTCCCCTTAGATGAATCTTTGAACAATTATCCAGGAGCAGGATGCCACAGTCCTTCCAGCATCCTCTTTCAGCGCAGCGCATCACCACCAAACAAACCCACCGATATCCGCTACAAGATGTCGTGTGATCATCACAACCTGGCGAATATCAATGACACTCTCTGTGCTGATGTCCTCATGGGTTTAGGAAATGCATCTCTGTCTTTGTTAACCTTTTGCAAAGCCCTGGGCTCCCTGAACAGCAGCCAGATGGAGCATGTGTGGAGCAACATGTGTTATATTTTTCAGATGTTGACGTCTCCACTGATCAACAAGTCATCTAACTGTGTTGTTGAGGACACCCAGCCCTCTGCTGTGTCCAGCCCTCTGAACGAGTCTCAGCTGGTCCCTCCTTCATCTCCTCGCCGAGTTGCCAGGGAGGCTTCAAGGCTCCAACAGCTGGACTGCAATTATAGCAGCTGGTTGAACAGCACTGCAGATGCTGCTCTTGTGTCTTTCTGCAGGGATAATGATAATAAAGAGTTTGTGAGGCAGGTCTGTAACAATGCTTCACTGATGAAGAAGCTGCTCTTAGATCAGGCGAACATCTGGCTATATGGATTCTGTGCTAACTCCTCTGCAGATGATGTGTACATGGTGAGTCAGTTCTGCAGGTATGAGCAGTGGATTGACCAGCCTTCTTATCAAGTGGGTGCTGCCCTGCTGCAGTTTTGTATCAGCCTTGATGCTCCAAGGCTCACCAGTCTAATTTGTGAGCACACTGGATTTTTCATGCTTCTAAACTCCAACCCTGACAACTGGCAGCTGATGCCCAACTGCACAAATTCACGCCCTCCAGCACCGTTCCCTAACCCCAGTTTATTACAACTGGATTCCTGCCAATACTCACAGTGGCACAACGTGATGCAGATTACCACAGATATTTTATCAAAGTGCATCCTTATTGATCAGATCAGATTTGCGACTGAGGTTTGCGCGAATAAAACCTTTCTTAGCAACCTTCTGCAAAATAAGGACATTGCATGGCTGGAAACCCACTGCAGCACCTTTTTGGTTGTTCAACCCACTGAACCAATTCCAACCTTTGACCTGGCAGCGTGGTGCGACTATCACACCTGGGGGGAGAGGCAGGTGGACGATTCTGTTGTTGGCCTCTGCTGGCAGAATGATCAAGCTGCTTTTCAGGAGAACGTATGCTGCAAGATAGCTGTGTTTGAAAAGTTGCTGGAAAACCCTAAGAACAAGTGGCTCACAACAGTCTGCACTGACATGGAGAAAATAACCGTGACACCACAGGTGGGTACTTTACAAGTTGTTAAAAAGTTAAATGTTGGTTAATCAAAAACAATGTATACATGAAAAAAGTTTTAGAAAAATTGGGGTTTGATTTACTTTAATCCTTACCATTGAAGAAAACCAAACAGTATATATTAAAGTGCATTTTTATCGAAGAGGAAAAAGTAAGACAATTTCAGATCTTACATGACATTCAAAAGGGTTTGCAATACAGTTATGGGTTAATAGAATTATGTATTTTTCCTAAATAGAGGGTTGGGTATTTGTAAGTGCAGTATTATAGATTGAGGTTTGTCCAATACAAAGCGAAAATAATATATCAAGATATTTGCCCCATATTTTTTCTGACCTTTACTAAGATTGGAGCAAGCTGGATAAAGGGACCTGCTGTTTTCAAACTATTAGGAAAAAATGTCAGTTTTGATCATAGAGGGACATTACCAGATATTTGGTGAATATCTTATTTGTTGGAGCATCAACAGGAATTTTTTACAAAAGCCTAGCAACCTTAAAGAGCTAAAGAAGAAAAACAGGCTCTTACATTTTGATATTTTAAATCTATAGAACAAACTGTGAATCAAATAAACTGATGTAAAAGGAAATAGTCTTATTGTATGACAGGTGAAAGAAAATATCGAACCACAAAAAAATATTTTTAGTAGAGTACATAAAACATATCACTCGTTTTGTTAGATAACTCATCTGTGGAACTTTTCAATTCAGTTTATTTATATAGAACCAATTCACAACACATGTCATCTCACTTTACAGTTCACCCGATCATCCAGTGAAATTGATTAAAAGTTTTCTATCTAATGAAACCAGTTGATTGCCTTGACTCATTGACTCGAAGGCAATATCCCTCACACTATGCATGCTTGTAGCGACAGTGGAGGGGAAAAATTCCTTTTTAATCTTCCAAGGCTGACTGGGGTTCAAGGAGACGAAAGCAGAGATACAAAAGGCAACTATAAAAGGCGGCCCAGTCCAAGAAACACACAGCCAGGCAGCTGAGCTCCAAATCAGCTCCCACGTCAGAGGATAAAGAGAGCACATCCAGCCAGTCACAGTCAGAGAAACAGGACTACACTGAAAAACATGAACGTTCCCCACTAGAACTATTGTAAATGCAAAAATTAAATCAATCACAGTACAGTTATATTAAAGTCAACAATGAAGCATTGATTTAAAGAAATAACCCAAGGCATTATGCTATGTTGTAATACCTCACAAACGTTGTCATATGATGTCTGTAATTTAGCTTTGCAGGTACTCTGACTGGACCCATCCTATCATCGTGGATATGACTGAGCTGGCTCTCTGTGCTGAGATTGACCCACAGAACTTCACTTCCAAAGTCTGTGCTAATGCTACAGTCATACAGAACCTTCTGGCCAATCAGGATAATGCATGGCTGGTACAGTACTGCAGCAACCACTCAAGCTCAGTGAGCCCTCCTGTTACAGGTGGAGGACAGACCACCCTAACTGGATTCATAGTCTTTGAGCGGTGTGTGTACTCCAACTGGATCACATCTCTTCCAAATGCAACACTCCTGGCTCAGTGCTGGGAGAACGACCAGGCCAATTTTGTCTCATCTATCTGCCCTAACCCTGTCCTCCTTTTGCTTCTGTCCCGGGAGCCATCTACAGCCTGGGTGAGCAGTATGTGTACTACCTTTACTAACTACACCAACACCCCCACAAAGAACAGCACCACAACAGTACCCAACACCTGTGCATCACAGACTCTAATGAAGCAGTTAACCTTATTGTGCCCAAAATACCTCATCCAAGACTGTCAGCCTTGTCCCAGTGAGAACATGATCCTACAAATGATGGTGCGCTGCTGGGTGGAGAGTCTGAGCTCAAGGATGGAGAGTCTGCTGACTACGCCTGTGACTGAGGTGCTAAATAAGGCAGTTGCTACTACTGTGGTGATCCTGCTGGCTGTAGAGGACTCAATGGGTCCCATTTGGCAAGTCAACAACACCATAAGACAAAACGTCCTGGCGTCTATTGTTGACTTTTTAAAAAGAGAAACCAACCAGGACAAGAAGACAGTGTTGCTACAATGCTTTGGGGTAGGTAATAGATGTTTGTTTTTGTTTTTTTGATAAGTGTATTTATTTGGGGATTGTGGATGACAATAATAGTTGCAAAGTATTAAAACAATTAATAATAGTAAGAGAAAAACTCGATCTCTCAATTTTTAATCATAAAAGGTCTGATTTTCTGTCCAGAGCTTATTTATATTTATTATTGATGCAAACATGTATCAAATAAATTTTCATTATTCCCCATGTACAGCATTTGACCTTCAGCTTGTTGCTGGTATCTGATAACATTACTGTCACTGATGCTGATAAGTCTTTGCAGCTTGGTGTAGTTTCTGCAATGTTACACCTAATTTACTGATGGCATGTATAATGCCATTAAAGGCATTATAAATGAGAAGGTGGCCAAATGCTTTCTCTGGGTCCACTAACATATTCACTCTCTGGAGTTGCTGAGAAACTAGTGCTTTAGAAACAATATTTTTAGGGAGGGGAGCTGCTGACCTTAAGTGTTCCCTCCACTATCCACCCTGACTTTATGTCTCCAGTCCACCCCAGACTCTGAGGGGAGCTCCTAGGGTGGGAGTTGATTACATCCATGTCAAGGGCTCCAGCAGATGTCCCCAGCAGACCATCGCTACTCACTTTGGCCTGCCCTAGTCTGTCTGGCATACTTTTCTTACAGTGTACCCAGTTCACCACCATGTGGTGATCCATGGACACCTTTACCCCTCTCTTCATTCACGTTTCCAAGACATATGGACCCTAACCCTACAAGATTGGAAGATACAACTACAAAGTCAATCATCAACCTGTGGCCTATGGTCTCCTGGTGCCAAGTGCACCGATGGACGTCTTTATGCTTCAACACGGTGTTCATNGTGGAGGGGAAAAATTCCTTTTTAATCTTCCAAGGCTGACTGGGGTTCAAGGAGACGAAAGCAGAGATACAAAAGGCAACTATAAAAGGCGGCCCTGTCCAAGAAACACACAGCCAGGCAGCTGAGCTCCAAACCAGCTCCCACGTCAGAGGATAAAGAGAGCACATCCAGCCAGTCACAGTCAGAGAAACAGGACTACACTGAAAAACACCAACGTTCCCCACTAGAACTATTGTAAATGCAAAAATGAAATCAATCACAGTACAGTTATATTAAAGTCAACAATGAAGCATTGATTTAAAGAAATAACCCAAGGCATGCTATGTTGTAATACCTCACAAACATTGTCATATGATGTCTGTAATTTAGCTTTGCAGGTACTCTGACTGGACCCATCCTATCATCGTGGATATGACTGAGCTGGCTCTCTGTGCTGAGATTGACCCACAGAACTTCACTTCCAAAGTCTGTGCTAATGCTACAGTCATACAGAACCTTCTGGCCAATCAGGATAATGCATGGCTGGTACAGTACTGCAGCAACCACTCAAGCTCAGTGAGCCCTCCTGTTACAGGTGGAGGACAGACCACCCTAACTGGATTCATAGTCTTTGAGCGGTGTGTGTACTCCAACTGGATCACATCTCTTCCAAATGCAACACTCCTGGCTCAGTGCTGGGAGAACGACCAGGCCAATTTCGTCTCATCTATCTGCCCTAACCCTGTCCTCCTTTTGCTTCTGTCCCGGGAGCCATCTACAGCCTGGGTGAGCAGTATGTGTACTACCTTTACTAACTACACCAACACCCCCACAAAGAACAGCACCACAACAGTACCCAACACCTGTGCATCACAGACTCTAATGAAGCAGTTAACCTTATTGTGCCCAAAATACCTCATCCAAGACTGTCAGCCTTGTCCCAGTGAGAACATGATCCTACAAATGATGGTGCGCTGCTGGGTGGAGAGTCTGAGCTCAAGGATGGAGAGTCTGCTGACTACGCCTGTGACTGAGGTGCTAAATAAGGCAGTTGCTACTACTGTGGTGATCCTGCTGGCTGTAGAGGACTCAATGGGTCCCATTTGGCAAGTCAACAACACCATAAGACAAAACGTCCTGGCGTCTATTGTTGACTTTTTAAAAAGAGAAACCAACCAGGACAAGAAGACAGTGTTGCTACAATGCTTTGGGGTAGGTAATAGATGTTTGTTTTTGTTTTTTTGATAAGTGTATTTATTTGGGGATTGTGGATGACAATAATAGTTGCAAAGTATTAAAACAATTAATAATAGTAAGAGAAAAACTCGATCTCTCAATTTTTAATCATAAAAGGTCTGATTTTCTGTCCAGATCTTATTTATATTTATTATTGATGCAAACATGTATCAAATAAATTTTCATTATTCCCCATGTACAGCATTTGACCTTCAGCTTGTTGCTGGTATCTGATAACATTACTGTCACTGATGCTGATAAGTCTTTGCAGCTTGGTGTAGTTTCTGCAATGTTACACCTAATTTACTGATGGCATTTATAATGCCATTAAAGGCATTATAAATGAGAAGGTGGCCAAATGCTTTCTCTGGGTCCACTAACATATTCGCTCTCTGGAGTTACTGAGAATCCAGTGCTTTAGAAACAATGTTTTTAGGGAGGGGAGCTGCTGACCTTAAGTGTTCCCTCCACTATCCACCCTGACTTTATGTCTCCAGTCCACCCCAGACTCTGAGGGGAGCTCCTAGGGTGGGAGTTGATTACATCCATGTCAAGGGCTCCAGCAGATGTCCCCAGCAGACCATCGCTACTCACTTTGGCCTGCCCTAGTCTGTCTGGCATACTTTTCTTACAGTGTACCCAGTTCACCACCATGTGGTGATCCATGGACACCTTTACCCCTCTCTTCATTCACGTTTCCAAGACATATGGACCCTAACCCTACAAGATTGGAAGATACAACTACAAAGTCAATCATCAACCTGTGGCCTATGGTCTCCTGGTGCCAAGTGCACCGATGGACGTCTTTATGCTTCAACACGGTGTTCATTATGGACAATCAATGACTTGCACAGAAGTCTAATAATGAAAACCACTAGTGTTAAGAGCTGGTCACTCCCTTCCAGGTGTCACAGTCATTTCTCACATGAAGTCCCCTAGCAGACTTATGCTATTCCTTGTAGTGGTTCGATCCAGACCATCTGGGGGGATAACCTTGGGTCAGTCCTTCGGGGTTGGCTCGGCTGGGTTTTGAGGAGGAATGCTCAGTAATGAACCACAATCCTTGGCCTGGCTCTAGGGTAAGGGCCCAGCTCTGCTGTACCAAGTGGTGCCTTAATCATAAGGTCTTTTTAAACTGCTCCTTTTATGAACCCTAACCCAGAGCCTGACCCTACCAGTCGCATTTAATCCCCCGACAATGTACCCTCTGGGATTATCTGAACACTGAAATCCCTACATCATGTTTAGGTGATAAACAGGGGTGAATTTTTTCCAGATTTTTAATTTTTTCTCTTGCTGATCATCAAGTTGACAAATTTAGTTCTCTAGAAAGAAAGGCTAAGGTACAATAAAATATAATATTAAAATGATGTACATCAACACAAAATTAGTCTTAAATGCTGTTAAAACTGTTGTATTTGTGTGCATCTTCCTGTTGCAGATGGTACTCAGCAATTTGCTGCAGTCAACAAGAGACATGTCTAGCAACGAACAGCTTTTCATCAAGGTTGGACACATCCCAAGTCTCTGTGGTAAAATTTTATCAGCCAGCATCTATTAGCTGTCTGATTTTAACCTCGCTCCCTATAATTTCTTCTTCTGCTAAATAGGAGTATTTCAGTTTGCCTTTGAGCAGCCTAAGGCCAGTGTTGGCTGCTGCACATATCAGCACTGTCAGGCTGATCCTTCAGTACTATAACAGATTCAAGGACTCCCTACAGGTGACTAAATTTCCAACTATGCAATCGCTGTATATATGCAGCCTAGTTTTTTTACACATCCACTTCTGTTTGTTTGCTCAGTTCTACTAGATTCTAAGGAAGAGCATACTCTGGTATCATTTTCTGAATTTGCTCCTTTTTAACAGCTATCAGATGAATACCAGTCCACCATGGTGTCAGTGCTCCTAAAGATCCACCAGGCAAAAGATGAGAAACTTCTTCTTGAGTTGGGCTCTCTGCTGGCTGCAGCAAGTCCAACTGATATCCAGGCATTGTCCTCCATGCTCAACATCAATGTGTGAGTAATGACTCCAGGTGCCATTTTTAATTGGTGCAATGCTTATTAAATCATTTGGATTTAATAAAGTGTCAGATGAATCCAAGAAAAGTAAGAAATATACAGTGATTTCAAAGAGAACAGTTTGGTTTGGGGTAATCTTGTTTTCAGACCCTTGTCACATAGAATATTTATTTACTTGTTACTGCACTTTTGTGCCTCTCTTCCATCATTTAAGTTAGTTATGTTTGGTAAAAGTAATCTGTACTCCGTAAAAGTATTTGCTCACCTCTCCAAACCATTTAGTTCTGGTATTTTAATCACTTTCATGACCACAGGGGAATAAAATCCAAGAGGAAGGCATGCAGAGTACTTCTGAACACATTTATGCAAGAATTGTTAACTTTTACTGTATGAGCTAAGTGAATTCTAGAGGGATACTGTGATATCTTTCCATACCATTAAGCATGTTAAGTCTTAAATTGTTGTCACTTCTAAGTATACCACAGTCATTTGTTAGCGATGTTAGCACAAAGTGAAAGAGCCTGACAAGTCAGTCGTGGTTTGGCAGGTCAGGTAAAATCCCAAAGCAGTCAGTAGAGGATGACATGTTTTCCACCTAAAGACCAAAGAATCCCAATAAGGAGAGCTAAATTGTGCGAAAGAAAAGCACATCAATGAGTGGCCAAGTTGTGAATTATCTACAAAAAAGGATAAACATGCATGCAGCTTTGGATCAATCCATTAAAATGACCAAATTGCATGTGCTACAGTCAGTATGACAGTGGTCATAAAAGAGACAAAGCTCTAAGCCATTGGAGGAAAAAAAAAATAATGACAATTGTTATACAAAAGAAATGAAAATGTTGTTATTGATTAATATTATGTTTAATGCACTTAGATATGTATCTGAAAGTACTACACACGAAGGTAAAACAAAAATAAAAATGTGTAAAAAAAAAAAAAAAAAGGTAATGGTAACTCATAAAACCTGGAAAAGCTCTCTTTGTGTGCTCCTCCCTCCCATATTCATAGTCATGGAGGCATGTGCACAAAAAAAAAGTACACATCCAAATCCCCTTCGCACCTTGTATAAATATTAGCTTTGCATGTTCAAACCAACATGTATTTATAATTTAATACATGCAACCATTTTGAAGATTAGGGCCATAGTTTGCAAAATTCACCACCCCTGTGCGCGGCCAATTTTAACAGGACCATAAACCTCAAGTTCTCTTAAGAATACATGAATCAGAGCTTAGCCAGATCTTCTTATCATGTATTAATATCAAACACTTTTCTAAAAAAAGTTCAAAGCTTCCATACAAACACACTTTCTGGAAATTTATAAAAGAGGAGTTGAAACTGTTAGAGATGGAAAAAAAAGGTTGTGGAGATTGACATTATATTTCAGCTATTATTTAAAGAGCTGTAATGTTCTGGAAGGTAAAGGAAAAATAATTTATAAATGTGGCATATTTTTATATTGATGTTTTCTGGCAATATGGTTATTATTCGTTAAGCATCTAGGATATGCAGTCTTCACAATCAAGGTGACAGATCAACTCAAGAGGTAGAAGACTACCAAAAAAGCAGAAATGAAGCCAAACACTCACACTGTAGTACATTTATAAGTGAGTTTGATCAATATATTTCCAGGCATTTCATTTCTTATCAACTTTTAATTGATGTTTGTTATTCTTACACTTTGTTTTTTCTATAAATATCTGTAGAATGATAGAAAATAAAAAACAGGGAGATCAGACCTTATAAACAGTGTTTAGCACTATCCAGTATCCACAATGAAATATTAAAGCTTTTGTCATTAAGATACAGGAAATTAGTTCATGACACATTCCTGAGAATTGCATCCTTCTTTTATCATTCAATCATCTATTCTCTATTGTTTTCAGCTTACAGCTCTTTAGAAATCACCTCCTATATATCCAAACTAATGGTCTATGCATTTATAAGTTATATTCTTGTATTTTACAAATATCAAAGAACTTATTGGGAATAAACTGTGTTCTTATGGGAGGTTGCAAGTGACAAAGTGTTTACAGTTTCAAATCCATTTTATGGAGGTTCTCAATGATTAGGCACCACACTGGTTAATCAACTGAGATTAGAGGTCTTTTATAGCTGAACTGTGATTTTAGAAGTTATATTTAATCATGGAGTCTCATTTACCGGCATACATACATGGCACTTCTCTCTGGGGACATATCTGGTGTCGGACGTCTGTGAGAACCGATGTGTCACTCTGCCACGAGTTGTCAGCCACATGTATTATGTATAGTCAGTAAAGGAAGCTCAGCCACTAACTAGATTTCAATCTTCGGAAAGCTTGTGTTTCTTGTAATCTTCCATGAAGAGGAATCTTTTTGAAAAAAAAAAATCTGAATATTAAAGAGAATTACCTTTAACAGCCTGGTTTTGTTCAGGCTATTAGCGTTAACTGAAATGTCACAACAACAAAACATCAAAGATTTATGACATGAAAGTATCAAAAAAAATTTTTTTCCTCCTCCAACTTTCTAATTGTATGTTATAAGATACGCTAAATATGGTACAAGTTTTAGCACCATCTCTGATGCCCTTGTTTTCCTCCTAGGCGGGAAACTATCAACACAAACATGGACAGAATGAGTCTGGCCCAGCGAGAGGCATTCGGCTTGTGGTACAGCAAAGTTATGTCCGCCTCTAACATCACTGGAGGTCATCTATCGCTCATCAGGGACACAGGAAACCTGATTGCTTACTTGCCTTTCCAAAGTTTCCAACACCTTTCAGCTGCTCAGGTAACTTCCCTTTGAGCTCTGACACCCGGCTGTGGAACATGAGATCCCAGGACGGAGCTCGATTAGCTGTGGGTCACAACAGAGCCACTGAAAAGCACAAGCCTCTTTAATCTGTCATTACCTGTATGAGTAATCTGATTTTGGATTTAATTTAGTAAGTAAAACCACACTAAAGTGTCCCCTTTAAAACTGGTTGTGCCATATTTTCTGGCGACATCACCATCATGTGTTTGCAATAATTGGCAGTGAGCCCTTTCTATTGCCGTGAAGGCATCACTCTTGTTGTTTGGCTGACTCTTTTTTACAAAAGGTTTTTGATTCAGCCACAGTGGATAATTTCCAGTCATTAACATCCTTTTAAGGTCATGCCTAATCATCTTTATGTCCCGAGTTTACTAGAACACCCAAAATACCTTTTTATTTCAGAGGACTCACTAATTGGATTCAGATACTTGTCTTTCTTTATAATCAACATGTTCTGGCTTTAATCTTTACTCCATTTGTAAATAATGACTCTCATTTTGGTAATTATGGAGGTACAAAGCTTTAAGAATGGCTTTCTAATAACAAATCTCCCATGCTATAATGTTAGTTACTCTGTTTCTTATATTTTTTTATAAATGTTATATTTTTATAAGGCTCCATTTCAGTAAATTTGTAATTCTACAGCTCTGTTGCTCGTCAGAGCAGGTTGTGCCCGTTGACGCTTGTTGATTTGAAAACATTTTCTATTCTCACAAAAAACAGATTTTTATTTTGTTCTTTTTTAAATGTGAAAAAAGGCAGAAATAAAGGAAATGTGTAAGGAGTGTTTTTTTTTTTATTTATTTTTTTTTTATTTCATACAACTGAATAAAATTTGGAATGGAACGCAGGGAATAATTTCCTCCCTGGGTTTATCTTAAAAAGTAATGTTTTTCATTTTCAAAGGCCTGAGAATATTCCCATTAATCTCAGACTCTATCTGTATTTACTGTCAGAGCAAAGATGCGTACTAGAATTCTATCGTATTTTTCAAGATTTTAAACAGCTGTGTAAAGCCACCTTAACATTTGTCTGACTCTCAAACAAGACTCTTTAAAAAAAACCTTTGCACATTAATCTATATTTTATATTTTATTCAGTAGCATTACCACACACAGCTTTCATACACTGTCACTTATATACATATTGATAAACTTTGTAAAAAGCAGGTTCTTTCTTTATTAAAATGCCATGCTGTCATCTTTCCCATTCTGAAGAATAGCTTAAAGTAAATAGGCCTTTCATGTTAGATCATTTCTATATATATACATTAAGAGATCTGATAAGAAATTAATTAAGTATAAAAAAGTTAAAAAAGTTAATTATAGGTTTGAATTTTCCATTTTGCAATAGCTTTAGATTACAAAGGTTTTTAGAATCAATGTAGAGGAAGCTCTGTGTAAGTTTCTAAAGTTTTCTGTTTTTCTGCAGCTGTTCGATGGTCTGGATGTGTTGCAGAGAAACACGCTCTCTTCTCTAAAGCAGGAATTCATTGCCGACAAACTTATTGGGACCTACAGGAACCTGACGGCTCAGGACTTTATCCGGTCAGGAAAAACCTGTTACAATTGAGAATATTATTATTATTGCTATTTTGGGAGGGGGGGTTATTTAGGTCTAATCAGAACTACTGTTTGAATAAAAGTATAATATCTTGTAAATGCAATTTCCCAAAAAGAGTTAAACTTGATTAGAAAACTATTGATTATTGTTCTTCCCTTATATATATGAGGAATATATATGAGGAAAGGCTGGTTGGTTAAAAACGTACACATATGATTGAGAGGAACGTATTTATATATATATATATATAAATATATATATATACGTATACATGTGATTTCAGATTGGGGAATCTGTCATGCCTCGCAGATCCAGAGGATCTCCTGGTTTACAGAAATACTGAAGCCTTTCAGGTCATCCAGGAGAACATATTGAGCTGCGCACTCAAAGGACTCAGTCTGCCCAGTCAAATGGTGCGAGCAGATCATTCTTAGTGCTGTATCTGATAATGAACAATAAAAAAAAGTTATATTTTCTTTTCTCCAGGTTTCAGATTTCTTACTCAACAACCCAGAGCTTCAGATCCCGTCCTCACTCAGTGCTAACCGACTGAAAGAGCTTGCCCCACTCCTGCCCTTACTAGGTGCAACCTTCTTAAAGGATCTGACATCATCTCAGCTGATCTCTGCTCTTCCTGCACTTAAATCCGTACCATTCACACCAATACAGGTAGAGCTGAACTGGAGCTTTCTGTCTCGCTGTTGTCATGTAATGGGACCTTATCTTTCTGATAGTTTTATGAGAATTATGACAAAAACTATCAGGCGAGGTGATGCATTTCTCACAAGAGGATTAGCGCTAGTAGAAGCTGATGGTTGCTCATCCATACCTTGTTCACAGTTTTTTTATGAATACTGAATTAAACCTTTCACATGCTGCAGGCTTACAGTGCCAGAGAAAGCAAAGAACCCCAGAGCATCACTGAGCCACTGCCAAGTTTAAACTGCAGGCATGGTATAATTTTAAGTCTATGCTACTCCCTTCATCCTCCTTGCTGCTGATCCACTGACCAGAAGAGAAATGTCAAACCCCTCTTGCTTTTTTCAGAGTTTTAAGCAAATTTTAACTGACTATTCCTGTGATTTTATATGTATGTATTTAATGCCTGTAGCTCTTTAATATTTAGTTTAGTTATGCATTATTATGAAAACTAAAACTAAGTTTTCACACCTGCAGCAGATCTTTTCTTGTCAGTTAATGGTTTTAAAGCACCTGCCTTTTGGGGAATCTGATAGCCCTTGCTGTCCTTTTGAATATTCTTTCTAGTTTGTGCAAAATAATGACATTCTTTGTGCAAACTTTACTTGCATTTTTGTTGCTTATATAAAGTATACCTTGCTAAGAGTCCACATATTTGAAGTGCTCTATCTCAAATATATCTCATGTAGTTGGTAAGACCTTTGGTTAGCTGCATCTGGCCAGATGTAAGAAACATTGATGTTTATTCCTTAGGCTGATAACATTTTGCTAACAGTGTGACTTAAAATAGGGTTGAATTTTTGAAGAAGTTTTTTCAACATTTGTTAAAAAAAATACTTAAATTGTTTAGTTCCTAATGATTGAAGCCTTTCTTAGTTTGTTGGAAATACCTTAAAATGATGTAGTTATGCAAATAACCCTAATTTGGTTGTTGAATAACTTTATGTGCAGTTTTATAAACTATAGGGACCTGAATTGAGCTGAATGTTACAGCAACTTCTGCTTATTTTTTGTGATTTAAAGGCCTCTATAATTGTGGACAAGCTGTTTTTAACCAACACGGTGAGTTACTTTGAAAATTCAAAATTGTATCTATTAAAGGCTGGTTCACACGGCAGGATTTTAACATTTTTGGTTGATTTTAAAAGTGAAGAGACCCCATACATAGCATTAAAAAAAGAAGGATAAAACACTTTTGGTCGTACAGAGTGTTCTTTCCTGTCACACCGCAAGTGAGGCGATTTTGACGCTCTTGACTCACATGGAGCAAAGGGAGTAAATATGGTCTCTGTGTGCAATGTCAGATGCAATTTAAAGGGTGGCTTTGTTTTATTTGCTTTGATGAGTGGGGGGAAAAAAACAGTTTTAAGATGTTTTTAACCAATAAAGTAGACCTCAAAACGTCCTCTGTGCAAGTCAGTTCACCAGGATCAGGATGTTCCACCTTTTAATAGTCTGTAGTTTTGAGTAGCAGACCCCTGCATACCGGTAAACCATCGCAATGGGAATCCTATGTGAACAAAAAGGGTTTTTTTGGTAGTAAAAACTCAAAGAACGAAAATATAAAATACATTTTTTTTGCCATCAAGTTTTGACATTTTAAGTTAATATATAATGAATTATTAATTGTTTTTTTGCCACAATCCAATAGCAAATTATTTTGTTGAAGCAAACAGAGCCCTAATACTTTTCTTTGTACTTGAAAAAAAACCTCCTGGGTTTTCATGCAAACATAACAAACCCCTTTATGAACATTCATGCTAATTTCCATAGTTTATGGAGGTGGAGAGATCATGGCTACCAGCCTGCTCCTGGATCAGCTGCTCTGATTTGTTGATGCGCAGCGACAAGCTGCAAATGTTCAGATTTTTAAACTCCACTATTTGATTTGAACGCGCTTGACTCAGTGGACTTCACACACTACAGAATATCAGGGCAAGACAATCCCATCTGTTGAATTTCCCTAATTCGATCAAAGGGGTCAAGACGCTCCGCCAAGCAGACTCGGAGACACCACACAGCTGATTATCAGTCCCTGGAGGCCCCCGAGGGCTCTCAGAAGGGAAAGACTGGGCAGTTATCTTGCTGTGTGAACCAGCCTTAAATTATATGAAGAAACGTTTCCTTTGCTGTGGCATTGTCCCCTCACACCTTCCTATCCTCTAAACCAGCTGAGGCAGAACCAGCTGCAGGAGCTTGGCTCGCTCATTGTTGGTGTAAAGACAGAGACCCTGCTGCCCCTCACTTCTGACAGACTGCTGTCCATGTTGAAGGCCCTCAGCCAACACACTCCCATCCGCTGCCTGCCACACAAGCATGCCCTCTGCGCACCAGAAGCAAACGCCATTGCAACCAAACTATGGGTACGCAAGAAAAAGGGTTATTCATGCAGTTGTCACATATTTAACACAAACATTCTAAAAGTTAATGAAAAGCTGAAATAATAATAAGAAATACAAATCAATTTTTCTTAAAATGTGTTTTTACATTATTTGATTAGGTAAATAAGACAATTTGCCAATGGAAAAAGTTGATTTACATAAAAAAAAGAAGTGCATAATATGTGATTTTCTTATTTTATGAAAAGAAAATACTGGTTCTGTTGGCATATTCTGTTTACATCCTCAAATTAAGAGCAAATACATTTATTCAACTCAATTTTGACATTTTAACTTAACAGTTTTTGCAGTGTTTTGGTTCTTTATTTGAGGTGACATGTTTTTTTCAGGGCTTTCCAGAAGTTGTCAGCTGGCTGGATGACGTGGAGCCTTTGCTCAGATGCACGCCCCTGCTGAGTATCCTTCCCAGAACTCGCCTTCTTGTGGAAAGACTCTCTAATACATCCACTAAACCTTGGAACACACAGCAGGTATTGCATAGTTGGCACTAAATTAAAAAACATATGCAAGTGCTTTAAAAGTTGCATGAAAAATTGTGCATTAAAGGCCAACACTCTCATGCTGCCTACTCCTCAAGTCAAAGTGTTTTCAATATTATATCAAAAGAAGCCCTCATTTCAGAAAGTTTTTTTATTTATTTTTTACTTCCTCTGTTTTAACAGCAGGAAAACTAGAAAAACTAATTGTGATTGACATTCTCTCATATCATATCTAGAAAGAAAAAATAGATCATGTATAAAAACCCTTTTCTGTTCTATTTTACAGGCTCAAGCAATTGTCAAAGAGCTGATTAATATTAACCCAGATCTAATCAAACAAGATTTTCTGTAAGTATTTACATTCCTCACATATGACATTTTTGGCAGATTTCATGGTTGTTTTCATAAAGGAAGAAAGAGATAGCAGATTTTTTGGAGTATGCTGAAGCCTAGCACTGAAGCTTATTTCAAAAGATTTTCAAATGTAGCATCCTCCAAGTCTACAGAGATACACACACAACAAAATCATGTTTTACTACCTTTCCAAAAACATTGCATTTACTTCTGTTCACTCTCCCTCCTGTGTGTGCATTTAGGAGTCTGCAAAGACTGGGTCAGGGTCTCAGCTGTAATGTCTTAAAGTACCATTTTCAGGCTGATAAATCACCTTCTTCTGTGAGGAAGATTTTGAGCTTCCTTCAGCAGCAGCCTACCGTTCTTCACACTTCCCTGGTAATTCTAACAACTCATAATATAAACTCTTCTCCTATAATACATGTAATATATATCTATCATGTGTCTTGTTCTGTCCTGCTGGACAGAAAAAGTGTGTGATCGAGGAGCTGGACACATTTGACTTCACCGACATGCTTCAGGATCTTGGAGCTGAAATTGCTTTGTCGATACCGTGAGTCATAAAACCAACTACACATACTCCATATATTCATATTTAAAAAAAAAAGAAATTGAAATATTACTTTTTATGAGAAAGGAAAAACTTTGGAGCAGCATTTTGCTTTGTTTTCTCTACAAATTAAAAATTTGGCCTGAGTCAGGGAACACGAATATATGAGACTGGACAGCAATAATTTAAATTTTTTACATTTAATTCAATACAATTCAGTTTAGTTGTATGGAGCCAATCCATAACGCATGTCATCTTAATGCAATTTACAGATACCATTCAAAAAGATCATATGGTCAGATTGGTTCAAAGTTTTCTATCCAAGGAAAACCAGCTGGTTGAATTGACTCAGTGACTTGAAGGCAATCTCTCACACCAAGCATGTTTATAGCAGCAATGGAGAAGAAAACCCCCTTTTAAAAGGAAGAAACCTCCAACAGAACCAGGCTCAGTGTGATCAGCCATCTGCTGAGGCCAACTTGGTTTCAAGGAAACAGAGGCAGACATACAAGAGGAACATAGAAGCACTGATCTATAAAAAACTTGCTCCTTTGATGGCTCTATCTGGAAAAAAAACAGTTTAGAAGTTCTAAGTCAGCCTTCATGTCAAAGCGATGAAAGAGAATACATGCAGTTAGTTACAGTAGAAGCTGAGCCCATAGCAATGTCTGGGAGAGAAACAGGATTGAAACCTGAAAAGCAGGCCAGAAGCTATCAACTATAATCTAAGATGTTGACGGCAGCAGCCCAGCTGGTATTTCTCTCCAGGATGGTGTCCCAGTCAAACAGCAACAGACCAGATTAGGGTACTATGACGAGGAAAAGCAGAGAGGGGAAAAAGTTAGATGTTGAACTAACAAATACTGCAGAATGGGAGAATAGAGATAGAATGAAGCAGAATGATGTAAAGTGGTCACTATGTCCTCCAGCAGTCTAAGCCTATAGCAGCATAACTATAGAGATAGCTCTGGATAACCTGAGCCACTTTAGCTATAAGCTTTATCAAAAAGCTAATTTTTAAAGTGTCGACGATTTATGTAATTAATACATTAAAATCATGAAGCAGCATTTAAAGCTTAAATACAGGATGTTTAATATATCTATATATGTATATTTATGTATGTGTGATTTTTTTCAGACTGTAACCAGTAATATTCTGTATCAATCTCTAATGCTGTTTTCAGGGTGAGCACCATTAAGAAGTTTTCTGCAGATAAGATGGACACTCTGAGGAACATGATTGTCACTACACCTCAACACTTTCTCATGTTATCCAGAACAAAACAGGAGCTTCTTGTTGACAAGATTGTTCAGAGGATGGTATGTCGATCAATTTCCCACTCCACCTTAAATTACATTAGGAAGTACAAATAGCAAATAAACCAGAAAGAATCCAGATTGTGAGAAGTTAAGACTATGTCGTACAGCTTTGTTCTAAGCCGTATTTACCTGATGGAAATTTTGTGGAAAATTCCCTCCATGAAGTATTTCGGAGGATGCAAGTTACCTTCTATATTGGCCAACATCAGCTTTATAATGAAATATTTATTATTGGCTATTCCACCAGTATAGCTCAGCGATATAAAGGGCAGTGTTTTTGTGACAAACAAAGAGTGATTATGTTGGTGGCAGCAGGTTGTATGCAGCAACCTGAAACATTAGGCAGTCACATGTTGGAGTGAAAATTTCAGTGGTGCAGATTTTTTTTCTTACGGTTACAGAAACAGATAACCAAACCGCTGTTTCCCATGGCTCTACGGTAGTGTTTTCAAACTTTTTTTTATATTATTATTTTTGTACCCGTTCAGGCATTTTGTCTTACCATGAGTAACCGTCTCAGTCAAACATACAATAACTGAAATAAACAATATTTTAGTTAATCTTGCATTTCATGTTTATAATTTTTTGCTTTCCATCTCAAATAAGAAAACAAAATAGATATAGGGCCTGAAAGTTAGTGAGGAATTGAAATAAAAAAAATAAAATCCTATTATAAACCTGTATTTATAAAACTGCAGCTCCTCTGAGTAACTCCCCTATAATCACATTTAACCTTGTAGAATTGGGAACAGAACAAAAATTATAGTCAGACTGACTTGTTCTGTTTTACTCTGCAGGCCATGAACACCGGGCCATTCACCGAAGAGGAGTTTCGTTCACTGGGCATTATGGCACCATTTGTGGGGGATGAAGTTTTTGTTCAGTTGGAACGAACCTTCTTCATTCAAAACCTGGAATACCTCAAAGGACTGTGCTACAGCAGCAGCAAGATGGAAATAGTGGCACGTATGCTGCAAGAACCTGCTGTTTTTGGGTAAATGCATCTCATACTAAGAAGATTTAAAAAAAAAAAATCAGTGTCCAAGAAGCAGTGTTTAGTTAACTTCATCAAACCTTTAACTTTTAACAAAGGCTGGTATAGTTATGGAAATGGTAATAATGAAGAAGTAAATCTAAAATAAATAGATATAGTAAATCACAGAAAATATAAGAGAAGGAGGCTGCTTATAAACAATAACATTCCATTCTATTCTGTACTGTTCTGTTCTATTCTATTCTATTCTATTCTATTCTATTCTATTCTATTCTATTCTATTCTATTCTATTCTATCGTGGTCTGTTCTGTTCTGTCCTGTTTAATTCTATTCTGTTCTGTCCTGTTTTATTCTATTCTGTCCTTTCCTGTCCTATTCTGTTCTACTCTATTCTATTCTATCCTAGTATGTTCTGTCCTGTCCTATTCTATTCTATTCTATTCTATTCTATTCTATTCTAACCTGTTTTATTCTACTCTATTCTATTCTGTCCTGTTTTATTCTACTCTATTTTATTCTATTCTTTCCTGTTCTATTCTATTCTATTCTATTCTATTCTATTCTATTCTATTCTATTCTATTCTATTCTATTCTATT